TATTAATTTCTTTATTTTTTAATTTTAATTCCAGTATAGTTAGCATACAGTGTTAGTTTCAGGTGTACAATATAGTGATTCAACAATTCTATACATTTCTCAGTGCTTATCAGGATAAGTGTACCCCTAATCCCCATCACCTATTTCACCCATCCCCCTGCCACCCCCTTCTGGTAACCATCAGTGTGTTCTCCATAGTTAAGAGTCTGTTTTTTGGTTTGTCTCTTTTTTCTTTGTTCCTTTGTTTTGTTTCTTAAATTCCGCATATGAGTGAAATCATATGGTATTTGTCTTTCTCCGACTGACTTACTTCACTTAGGATTATCCCCTTTAGATCCATCCATGTTGTTGCAAATGGCAAGATTTCATTCTTTTTTTATGGATGAGTAATATTCCGTTATACATACCACATCTTCTTTATCCGTTTATCTATCAATGAATACTTGGGCCGTTTCTATAATTTGGCTATTGTCAATAATGCTGCAATAAACATCATACTATTAATTCCTTGAAAATGAATGAAAATGCCAACTAAAAAGGGGTTTACCTTATGGATCTAGCAAACTCTTAACAAAGTGCTTACTATATGTCAGACACTGTTAGCTCTATGAATAGCAACTAATTTAGACCTCCAAACAACCCTATGGGATAGGGCCTATTATTATCCTCAACTTCATATATAAGGCAGCTCAAGCAGGAAGAACTTATAATGGCTGAGCAACATTACACAGCTAATATGTTCCTGAGTTGGGATTCAAACCAGGTAGTGTACTTTTGGATCTGTGCCCTTACCTATCAAAGCCCACTATCTCTAAAATGAGCTATAATGAACATATTATATTTAAAAGAATTGACATATGAACTGTCTTGTCTTTTATTTGATAGGAAGAAATTTGTAATGTTGCAAAATATTACTTCAAGCTTCAGACAGTAGCATTGTTTCTTTTGGTTATACAACATGCTTGTATATATTAAAGCATCATTACTTTTTATCATTTCTCAAAGCCTGAAATTCAGCTTAGTGCTGGTGTGGTATAAACACTTTTTATGACATATTTAATATTTCTATTATGCCCATGAATATTGGAAAGGATGTCTCAATAACAAACAATATGTGTGAATGGATGGTAGTTTTTAACATATGAATGATTTTCCTACCATCTTAAATGTTTCATTAAGACATACATCTCAAAAATTCAGCCCCTGGAAGAGTGAGAAAAATTCCTGCCCCCAATAATTAATGGCTAGCAAAGATGCTCCTGTTTTTGCTTGCCAATGGACAGTACTTAAGAAAGAAGGGAGATGAGTTGTCAAACCATGGCATCATGCCCTTTGCTTCATTTTTGCTCTCTCTTATTCACAGGATATAGATTCCGTATAACCACAGTGTGAGGGATGTAATGCGGTACCAACAAATATTTGTTAAAACACATTCTGCCAAAGCAATTTTTTTTTAAATAAGTAGAGTAAGTAATGGAATATTAATTAGAGGCCAATAGAGTGAAATTATACTGTGCTAGCCTGTCAAAGATATTACCTGTGTGTCAAAAAGAAGAGTTTATGACCGGCATGTTAGTATTACATGCCAATATTCTGAGCAGGTGGTCATTAGAGATTTTGCTAGGAGCCAGATCGTTTTCCCCATGAATAGCTTGGTAAGGTCCAAGCACTTATTTTTCCCTGAGTTAGAAATCATTCCACTTCAAATTGCCAAGGTACCTGTCCATAATGCCAAGGGAGTTGTTTTAGCAGTTCTCTCACAAGCTGAGAATGATTCACCAAGTTCAGAATTTTTAAATCTGTTTTATTGGATAAACTCAAAATATCTGCTTTATTGGATAAATTTAAAATATCTGTTAGGTGTCTTCTTTCTTCTTTACAAACAGCATAATTGAAAGCATTGTTTTGGTAAAATCGTCTCAGAAGACCACATAATCACCATTTAAATTAGTCCTAATTCATTTTACACTTGCTTATTTTACTGTTAACTTTCCCAGAACTGTAATTTTTTTTTTTTTACAATTAGAACATCTGAATTTTAATTACATTACCATCAAGAAGCTCATTAAAGTCACTTAATTGGCAACATTTCCAAAAAAACCTTAGCTGGGTTTAATGTATTTTAAAGAGTTACTGTCAAAGTATAATTTCACCATTACAAACAGCTTGGCAACAACATTTGCATAAAGATCTGTCAGTTTCTGAAAAATGCTCAAATGTTGGGAAAATCAGATTCGTTAAGTCGCCTTTACTGAAACAGTCTAGAAATGGAGAAACTGTACATACATTCATCTTTGTAAGACTCTTGTCCCCTGCAGGACCCAGAGTACTACTGCCAGGCACAGCATAGGTATTCAGAAAATGTTTCTTGAAGGAAATAATTCATACATTTTAGGCTTTGGGGCAGACTTAAGATTTTTTTTAAAGCCTCAATACAAGTTCCTTCATTTATGTTAAATTTAACAAGATACCCATCTTCTTACTACTTTCTTATTCACCTTAGGATATAGGAGATGGTCACTTAGAATTTTTAAACCACTTAAAATAGCTCTAAGGTTAGCATTGCAGGACTAACATTGGAGATTATTTTGAGATGATAACATTTTTTATGGTTTCCCTCTTACCCATATTAGAATCCCACCCCTACATGACTGGTGTCATTTGAATTTGCATTGTAGTTACATTCATTTTTTCACCTATACAAGACTTCAAGTTTTGCTTATAGACATGTATTTTGTTTAATATACATGCATTTTGGGGAGGTGGAGGGTCACCTCTAGGACCTAAAACAGTGGCTTACATTTGTCCAATGGACGAATGAAAATCTCAAGTTTGTGAGAGATGAAGCATGATTAATTAGGGTGCTGGGACACCCTCCTCCCCAATCTCATATGCAAGAATAAAATGCAGTTAAAGGATAGTTATTGTTACAATTTGCTTCCTACAAATAGAAAAGGTCAGATGTTTTTAATCATCCCTTTTGGTTTGGCATTTTTCTATTAAATATTTCCCCGTTGTAATTTATGTATCTTTTATCCTCCATGCCAAAAGAAGAATCTAGTAAAGCGGTACAAAATGCGAACATTAAAAAACAAAACAAAACAAAACTGCCTCTCAAGTTGCTGCCTTGCTCTTCACTATATCCTTAAAGTCTTGCACAGTGTCTGCTATACAGACAGACTCAACAAATACTTGTTGAATGAACGAATAAATACATAAACACATGCTGAATGTCTGAGGCGCACCTGGATGACTCTGCCTGAGGAGGTCAGGGGAGGCTTTAGCAACAGTAATGTAGAAAAATGAATCTTCCACAAACACAGATGCATTCACTCATTTATCGATCGCTGAGCTTCTACCATATGCCATGTTCCAAGATATGGTCTGTGAAGATTGCTAGGACAGCACCATCCAATAGCACTGTCTGTGATGATGGGAATGTTCTACATCTAACATCTACAAAATTATCTTGTAGACCGTGGAGAAGACTGGAGTTTTTTACCTGGAACACTGGAACATTTCGATTTGCCTTTTAGAAGTTGCCTCTGCAGCAGTGGGAACCAGAGGCGTGAGGCTGGAGACCTCTTATTGCATGCTGATATTAAACAACAGCTTTGCAGAATTCCACAAAGGCAGAAAAGACGTTGAAGGAACAAGATTTTCTTATTATTTGCACTTGCCCTGTTGTACCCCTTGATAGAGGATTAAGAAAGAACTGTTGCTTATTCTCCTCTCCCCAGCTGGAGAGAGTGGATGATGAGAATATTATGAGGACATCTGGACTTGCTTCTGAGGCTGCTCCAGGCAAAACAAAATGGGAAAGGAATAGCTTCTCTCTGCCCCGCAGGACATCGGCAGTTGCATAGATGTGGGGAGGGGGTGCTATGGCCAGCCCTGAATCTGTGTGGGTGCTGCCCAAACTTCCTGACAGAGCACCCCTTCCTGACAGGTGCGGTGGGGCCATGTGGCGTGAGTGGGAGGCATGATTTCAGAAAGCGGTGGTAGAGAGAGCATTGGACAGAGAAATGTCTGACAATTCTAGAGGAGGCTGTGGTCTCTGATCTTAGAGGCCCCTTCCTGCCGTAACGCTGCATGTCTGGATGGGTTCTTCTGGCTGTAGAGCATGAGAGATCTGAAGAGAAACCAGAGCATGAGAGAAGGCACAAGGGTCTTCTAGCTGCAACTAGGAAGGATCAAGCTAGGGATGGGAAGAAATCGTCCAGAGCCACCTCGGGCCAGGAAACACATCAATGAAAAGTCCCCTAGGGAGAGGCTTCATGGATACTTCCAACATTCATTTAATAAATATCTTCTGGTGATCTGGGTCTTTTTAATTCGGTGGCAGTTACAGAGATGGAAGCTGCCCATAAGTTTCTAATTAATGGGGACCCTTACTGTCAGAGAGTCACCTTCGGGGTTGCAAGCATTATGGCTTTTTTTTTTTCTTTTTCAAAATGAGCTCAGTAATGTCAAACTCAAGCCCCAGAAAAATCTCATAGATACAACATTTTTCCTTTCTAGCTGTGGATGTCCTTTTTATTTAATTGTTTTGCTTGCTTAGTTTGGTGTGGCTTAGCAATCTGAAGGCAGTTACCATTGCTAATTCTTGAAAGGGATACAAAATAAGAATGTTTCTAAATTTGAAGCATTTATTAAAAGGAGCCTGAATTCAAAATTCTGATTTTATCCCTGTTGAGTGCTTTTGGCTACATTGAAGAAATCTGGGAGAAATTTCATAAACATTTCTTGGAGGTCCAGCATAGAGTGCAAACATCAGGACGCCTCTATGAAATGCATCTCGAACTTGATTTCTGAACAATGCTTTTTCATACTCTGAGCTATTCATTCCAGCATTTGGAATCCTAATTACAAAAATCCAAACTCTTCTAGATTCTTCTTCTCCATCCCCATCTAACGTGACTCATGTGCTTGCCTAGCACAAGCGTTTATTTTCTGTGATAAAACCGGAAGTTGAAATTAATGCACACAGACAAAATAACAGCACTTTAACTTCTGACTTTATTATTTTCCTCAAATGAACAGGTGATAAAACACTGTGTCCAAAGCAAAAGGCACAGTTCCCTTTTCTCTCCTTTCAGAGAGTGCCAGAAAATGTAAACAATGTTTGAGTTGAGCTTCTGAGTCTTAATCTTCCGCCAGCCTTTAGAACATCATTCGTCTGTTTGTCCCAGGATTTAACAGCATAAAGAGTAAAACAAGCAAGTGGTCTGACGCATTTATACGAAGTGTTCCCACTGTGATACATCCCACTGTGATACAAGCTTGCGTCTGCGTCCTTCTTAGTCGGACAAAGAAAAACACTGCTTTAGGAAGCGGGTCATGTGGGTGTACAGGTGCTTCGTGGACAGGCCGGATATGCCATGGTTCTGGTCCGAGTACCACTGCAAGGCAGAGACCAGATGCTGGAGTCACGCCCACGGCCACACAAGGCACCCAGCTTTGACTTTCTAATGCTCGCAGGTCCCGACCATTTTTCTAATGCTGTGATTGAAATTCTACTTAAGGGGCGCCTGGGTGGCTCAGTCGGTTAAGCGACTGCCTTAGGCTCGGGTCATGATTCCGGAGTCCTGGGATCGAGTCCCGCATCGGGCTCCCTGCTCGGCAGGGAGTCTGTTTCTCCCTCTGACCCTCCTCCCTCTCATGCTCTCTGTCTCTCATTCTCTCTGTCTCAAATAAATAAATAAAATCTTAAAAAAAAAAAAAGAAATTCTACTTAAGAGCACTTAATAAGATAGCTCACAATGCAGACATTTAGAACAGAAGACAGAAAAGGTCTTTTATTAACCGGGACTATTCTTTCCCATTCTTTAAGCTCGTATTTTATTTTATTTATTATTTATTTATTTGTTTGTTTGTTTGTTTGTTTGTTTATTTATTTATTTTCAGCTTGTATTTTAGATCTTGGTGGCTGAGGTTTCACAATGGCTAGCATCTTGGGGGGTCAGGAGGCAGGTACGTGCTCCAGAGCTGGGTCTATCACTTTGCTCCTCTGGAGCTTGGTTTCCTCATTTGAAAAAATAAGGAGTTTGGATTTGATTTTCTCTAAGGCTTCTGCTAGCTCAAAAACTCTATGAGGCTTGTAGCCTCTGAAATCCAATTCCTCTCTGCTGCAGAAAATCCACAACACATATAACTGTAAACACCTTTCATAGGAGTTAAACATAGTATCATTAAAGTCACCCAGGAAGATGACGTTATACATTTAAACTTCATTGTTGGAGAGATGCTGGAGAGATTATTGTTTTTACTGAATAAAGGTGGATAGTGGTCATGATGGAATGCTATACACTTAGAAGGTGAATTTACGTTGGGGAGGGTCACGATTAAAAAAGATCAGAAAAATCTCCCATCTCCCTTTGCAAATTATTTTAAAAAGCCCAATTTCCAAAAATGGGGGTTTCCTTTTCGAGGTTCTCATTCAGGAAAAGCAAGTGAGGGAGAACTTCTGCTCCCTGAGGAGGGGAAGCTGCTGTCAGGGGTTGTCTCTTTTGCCGTGGTTTTCACCTTCCTTTTCCCTCTGTTGTCATTTCCGAGTCCTCGTGCCACCCACCCGGACTCTCCGGCTAGCTCATTCATTCATTCGCTCGGGGAACACTCCAGTTTCTGTGCTGGGCCAGGCTTGTGTCAGGCACTGAGAACACACGGGTGAAAGGGTTCCCTAACTCTGAGTGGGGCTGCCTGACTTCAGGGAGCCTCTGTGGCCGCTGATAACATTCCCCAATCGCTCCTTACTGAATACGTGGAAGCTTTTCGCTGCTTTGGGACTCCCAGCTTTTGTGGGGATGCTAAGCATGCAGCTACATTATGTAAGCAGGATCACAGAACTATTGGATGTTCGAGCTAGAAGATCATCAATCTCACGGATGTCTTTATTTCAGATAGGACTCAACCGGATCCCCAGAGGTGACATGGGTCACCTCATGTCCTTCAGGGAGTTCATGGAAGATCCAAGACCCACTTGCTAATATTCTGCCTACTCTACCCTACAGCCCGTTTGCCAGGTTTTTGTAAAAAAAAAAAAAAATAATAATAATAATGAAAAATCAGGTTCCTCCTTTGAGCTTACAGGTCTAAGGCCGTGAACGGGAGTAAAACGAAATCATGTACCATTGCCTGGAAATCCACTTGTGCATTAACCAGAGCTTTAGCAATCTGTGCTGAGTTTTGAAAGTGCACATTATCTGCAACAAAGAGAGAGAGTTAAAGTGCTGCTAAATACCAGAAAGCATCGAGTGACAATGTACTGCCTGCAAATGAACACCGACAATTATCTAGTCATGCGGTTGACATTGTCAGCAGTGAGTCATCGCACTCATTTGTGGAAATGTCCCTGACTCTTAGGTACTGACCCTGAGCACAGGCATAGGAGGATGCTTAATGTTTCTTAAACAAAGTGATGTTGGCTCAGTATTTTTATGTGTAAGAGTCTTGCTTAAACCTCACCATCTGCTGTTCCGTGGATGAGAAGATAGTCTACATTTCTGAAATATTCTGCTCTTGCCATCACAGTTGAATTCTGGAAAAGAGGAAAAATTAACATTTTAGTTGCTGCAAGTTCTAATAGAAAACTAGCTAAATCATTGTGCGATGGACTTAGCACCAATACTGAAATTATGTATTGCTTTGGTTGATAAATATTTAAGAGTCAGAGCAACACATTTTCATCATCATTTGCATTACTTCCATCTGATTCTTCGTTTGAAAAACGGGAAGTTTATGTGTCATATGTTACATATGAGTGAGACCTTAGGCATAAATGATGCCCGCTCAAGCTGTGTAGGGGTTGGGGGTGGGCAGGAGGATGCGGAAAAGGGAGGTGAGGGAAGGGAGGATGGGGAAAGAAAGAAGAGAATCCCAAGAGAGTAAATGTCTTCCTAGTGAGGTGTTTTGCAGCTAACAAAAGATCAGCGTATTTGCTTGGGGAGCCAGCAAAAGTATAAACTCTGAATGACTGCTTCAAAATTATTTAGCACATTTGCAAGAAGTCAATGACCTAAATGAAACAGAAAACGCTTACTTTATAGTGCTTGAGGTTATCGTTCTTTGTTGGGAGGCCCATGAAGCGCTCTGTGTAGATAGATGCTATAAAATATATGAGAATATGTTGTTTACATGTGATATGGGTCATTCCATTAACCAACAAGACCCCCCAGTTCGAGAACTGCTCGTCACCTTCCCCCGTGGAGCTGCTGAGGAAGGTTCCTGCTTGCCTTTACTGTAATGCTCCACCCAAGTCATTTGCTCTGCGATTTGCCTCAACAGGGCTAGAGAGGCAAAGGAGGAGACAGGCACAGCTAACATTAGAAAGGACTGATCTTAAGCTTTTTCTCTTCCACCCTTTGGTGGGGGAGATGTTTAGCTAGGAAAGACCTTATGGAATGACCTCATTGTATTTTTTAAAAAATCACAAATGCAGCCACCTCTTGTACTTTTATTGGTGTCTTAATTAATCTGGGATGGAACTATGTGCCCCCAGTCCTCCTCTCCCAACACACACACACACACACACACACACACACATTTTTTTTTTTTTCTGAATAAAGATTGCCTGAGAGTTATAGTTGTCTCATTTCTACCCCAACCCAGGGACGAGGATCTGATGAAAGCTAATTTTTGTGCAATTATTAGAGTTAATTCCAAATAATCATCCTGCATTAATGTGAATCATAAAAATAGGCACCCACGGGAGGTGTACTTCTTAACAAAATTTTTTTGTGGCTCTGGTTTCTGGAGCAATGGACCTGGCGGCTGCAAACTGTGACTTGGAGGTGAATAGTTTGGCTCCGCCCAACTTTGCGTAAAATGTATTTACAGGCCACCCGTGTGCCTGCAAAAACACAGACTCGGCTCTGGTTTTAAAGGTTTGGTGTATCAGGAGGCACCAGGTTTCGGGGAGAGGATCACATACACTGGGTTTTGGAAGAGTCCTCCCTCACTCTTAAGATTTCTTTGATTGTTGCAACATGATTACAATGCATCATATAAACCACCTCGCTTCTAGATTATGCTTTCCCCAGTGAAGCTGGGGTGAATTTTACTGCATAATTTGTTTTCCTAGCAACCTCAAATATAGAGTAATTATGTGTTAAATGTTTTCGCAGCCACAGTTATGAAATGTTTCCATACCGTAATATTCCCAGCTGGAGACAGGAGCCACTGCTATCCCACATTTGAAAAGACCGGTTCCTGAAGCAAGGGCCAGGGATGAAACATAGCCTCCGTAGGACTGTGGAGACATCATTACAAGTCAGTCCCAGATTTGCTTTCAGAAAGTCTCCAACATCGTTTTACAGCAACTCTGCTCACAATAAGTACTGATGGGAGCTGGGGATATGCATGGGGCAGATTAAATGTCTATCTTGCACCCTTGGCAGCAAGCTCCACCTGACACAGCATCATTTCACCCCCAGTAAACTAAAAATACTTGTTGTGCTGATTGGAGCATGGTAGGGGCAGTTGAAGAGATATTTATAATTGCAACTTTTCTGCCCCAATTTTTTTTTCCTCTCTATTTTTCCAATGAGGGCCTTGCCAGAGCAAAACCAGGATTGTACTTGAAAGAAATGCACAAAGAAAGGAGATTATTCCCCAAATGTAAAAGCGGGATATTTCCCACAGTCTGCAAAAGTCCTGTAAGGCAATACTCACATCTGTGTATTTACTTATTGGTTTTCATAATAGAACAACAAGGGTAAGACATAAGAACCTTTTGGATAGTTAAGGACATGGCCAGAGTTTGTGTATAATGTAGTGTTACATATTCTGTTCTGAGGGGGGATTTCTGGCATAGCAGCTCAAAGGAGGAAAAGCCACTGGTGTCTTTAAAAGTCTTACATAGCCCCCCACAAATTGAATGGAAAAACAAAGAAATACAAAAGGAGTCAGGAGTAGGGTTAGCTCTCATCAGTTTTCTTCCCCAGGGAATCAGGGAGATGATTCAGAAATGTGACCCTGATAACAGGAGCTGTCTGCCCATGTCACGTGGAAATTTGAACCTTGTCCTAAAAGTGAAGAAATGAACACAATAAGGTGGCATCTCCCCCGGAAGTGAAATTTGGGCTGTGGAAACATGCTTGAGAGAGAGGCTTCTCCTGGGAATGTGGACTAAACAGTGCTCTGGGTCCTGAACCCCCAAAATGTGTGTACTAGATCAGGAAGTGATTCTCGGTGCATATTCTTGCCCCAACACAGGAACGTTCCCCACAAGTCACCAGAGGACAGTGGGACTTTCCAACTAGGAATGGGCCTTGTATTTAGGACCTTATTACCACAAACCTCCGGGAGCCATTTTCCCTTAGGTCAGTAGAGATCATATCACCCTTTGCCACAGAGAAGTCAGTCTTCAGAGAGGGTGAAAGAGTGAGAGGGAGAGTTCACAGAGTGAGAGACAGATAGGCAGACAGAGGACAGACATGCTAATGAGGGCAAATCAGTGGGAGGGCTCTATTCTTAACCCACGAAATACATGGAATGGGGGGATAAGTTAAACAATCTTGCTGAATTCATGAGGTAAAGGAAGAATTTTTTAACTAGTGTACAGTTGTATGTTTCCAGTTCTGGGGAATTTTATTGAGGACCCTTGGTGACAAAACACAGAATAGAAGAAGCAGCTCCAATTATATCATGCCCTCCTTTTATTATACTTAGAGAAGAACTAAAACATGTTCTAATAGGGGAAAATATATTTTAAAAACGGAAGGAACAGTGGGTTTGAAAATCATTTTGGTAAGTGAAAATTTTCACTTATAAAAATGATTTGCTTTGATTCGTAGGTTAGCAACGACTATTACTGAAATGGAAGTCCTCTCCTTCTTTCTTTTAGGTTCAACTGAGAGGAAAGTAAGCTGAGTTAGAAATATTATTGTTTGTGGTTGTATTGGAAAAGCGTGTTCACTACCAGTAACAACGGTGGGTCCCGCTGAAATAGCATGAAGTGAGATTTGAAATGGAAAGCATTTACACATAGTAAAAAGGGTTTTCAACACTTCTGTTCGAAATCTTACAAATTATTAACCTGTATCTACTCAGTGATTAGAGAGTAGTGCTGTCCCTAAATACAATTTCCGTGTTTCCAGGATGAATACGAATTGTCTCTAGGAATTTGTAAGAGCAAAACTAGTGTAGCAACAGCACAACAAAAGTAGGTGTTCTTTAAATTCTCAGGCGGCTTAGAAAAGCGATTCCTATTGTAGAAATGAAGAGGAAATAAAATAAACCCGCGTTGACTTTTTTCTTCTCTCCCATGGGTGGGGCTCCAAGGCAGAGTGGGTGGCTGTCGCAAGAAAGGAACCCACGGAGCAGATTGGCCATGAGAATTCTAGAATTTTGTCCTTTGCACTTAGATGCCTTGCCATTTTGTTTAAACGAAGGATATCTTTAAAAACATTCTTAGAAGGGCACAGAATTTTGAGGGGTTTATAGAACGCTCTTCTGTGAGCCATAATGCACACTGGAACATTTTACCTACAGGCAGTTATAATGAATAGCTAACGTTTGTACGGCCAAGGCTCTTGCAACCTTCTTGGAGGACCCACACTCTCTGTTTCCCTTCTCCCTCCTCAGATGTTCCCCTGCTTGTCGGCTCTCCTGATGTTCTCTGGACTCTCCAGGCATGATCTAGCCCCAGGACTTTCACAAATGCTGCCGCCTTCCGCCTAGAACCCTCTTTCCCCAGGATACGGCCATGGCTCGCTTCCTCCCCATTTCAAGTCTTAACCCAGAGAGAGTCGCACCTGTCCTTCTCATCTATGATGCACCAACCCTGCATTATGCTCCTATCTTTTTGTGTTTTGTTTTTCACCAGAGCACTCGTCATCGTTTAACATCCTGTTCATTGTACTTATTTGTCCTGCTTATTGTCTTCCTTCCCAACTGTTCCCAACTCCATAAAGGTGGACATTTTCATCTGCCTGGTTAATGAATGTATCCCCATCACTGACAACATGGCGTAGAACACAGAGGGGAATAGAATCAAATAGTCGGGGCGCCTGGGTGGCTCAGTCATTAAGCATCTGCCTTCGGCTCAGGTCATGATCCCAGGGTCTTGGGACCGAGCCCCACATCGGGCTCTCTGCTCAGTGGGAAGTTTGATTCTCCCTCTCCCACCCCCCCCGCTTGTGTTCCCTCTCTCGCTGTCTCTCTCTGTCTCT